AAGCCGAAATATTGAACTCGGCAACCCTGCCTTTGCTGGCAGCACTTCTACCCTGTCAAAATACATCCGCACTGGCAAGGACGAATGTGCTCCCCAGCAGAAGAAGGGTGCAGAAAGATCAGGCAAGGCAAACCCCCCTCCCTCCTCTTCCTATTCTTCGTCCACTAACAATGCCACGCAGAAGCCAATCTCAGCTGATAAAGGTCTTAGTAAAGAAAATACTTCCACAACAAAACCCAAGTTTTTCCCCTCAGAGGCTGAAGGTATGCGTTTAAAAACTGTACAGATACAGGTGTGGTGATTTGATGGTAATAAAACTAAAAACCTTTTTGCAGTTGCGGTAGTAACATTCATTATTTTGTTTTTTCATTGCAAATTTAAAAGTTTGAAAACATTTTTTTTCACTAATTCATTTTCAAATTTGGTGCTTTGCACATTAGTGCAAATAAAATGATTGCTGTGGTAAACCCTAATCCTATTCAAAATTGATTGACTTTGCATCTGACTTGCTTGACCCTCTTTTAATACACAACACATTATACTGTGTGTCTTTTCTAACATGACTTTCTGTCACTAATCAACCATCAAATCACGGTAACCCCTAACCCTAGTCTAGCTATAGTGGTTAGTTCATGTAGGTAGTTCTATGTTGTGTTATTAGATGTACCTCTGTGTCTCAAAGTCTTCCTGTCCTTGATATCGTGAATAGTACAGTATCCCTGTGTCTTACAGATTGCTTGAGTTCAAAAATTCAGTGAAATGATAAATGTTACCCAGCATGCCTCTCAGTTTGAAAAATCCTTTTCTTTTTGAGAAAAAATACGATGTGGTTCTGCTCATTCATAAAGTATTGGAGCGCTTTTTTGACTTTCACACTTTATGTTTTCAGTTTCCAAAGTTTTAGTACATCTCACAAATTTGGATAAAAGTTCAACTGTATATTTGTTTGAAAAGCCAAAACCACATTAAGACGTAATTTTTAAATGTGAAAATGAAGGAAATAAAATGTGTTGTATCTGTGTTATGTGTTGCACTCGCAAAAATTTGAGCATAGTTCTGCACTGTCTTACTACAGCAGGAACCAAAATAAACTGATCATAAAAACACTATCAATTTCTCTTGTAATATTGCAGTATCATTTGGAACATTCTTAGCAGTGTTTGTTTTGACTTTGGCAGTTTCAGTCCTAACAGCCGGTACCCCTGGACACAGCTATTGTCACCAGGCGTGCTGTGTGTTAAAAATAATATACGGAATACACTTTTTCACAATTTCAAATTTTCGTTGTACCTATGTAAGCTTACAATATAATTTTATAATTTCAAAAAAACACCTACTTGAAATATACCAAGTGGTAGTTTTGATTACCAAATTTCCAACAGTTGAATGCAAAGTTATAACAACTAAGAATCTTCCAAGTAATGCTGTGATGTTCCAAGTAAAATTTATAGGAAGATTATAGAAAGGTTTTCTGATCAGTTTATTTTGGCACTCACTGGAAAAATATTTGTTATTACCAATTATTTAAACATTTTTAGCTCCGCTGTCGACTTTGTCAAGCGGAGCTTATCATATGAGTGATTGTCCGTTGTCGTCCATGTCAATGTTTTACTTTTTCTACTTCTTCTTGAAAACTACAAGCCTGAATGCTTTGATACTTGATGTATATGTACCTTGGGTAGACCTCTCTC